TCCAAATCCCATCAATTCAGGCAGCCACTGTTAAGGACGAGATAGAAGAGGCAGACCTTGTGGCAAGTGGGTCAGAGCTTCTGCAACAAGTGTCCGCCAACTTTTCTTCTTACCAAGAGAAGGCTCAAAACTTCACCGACTCGGAGGTAGCGCTCGTTCGCGAAAAGGGGACAGGAAGCGCTGCAAAGCAGTGCCAGGTATGTTGCAAATTACAGGCATCAGGTATATTCAGTGCAGTCTGAGGAATTGGGGAAGCAAGAAGGAGTCATATGGGTGCACAGAGGAAAGGAGTGGAGAGGGGAGGAAGGTAGGAGCTTTGTGAGAAAGGTCAGAAAAGGACTCGCTAAAAAATAATAAGGGCACAAGCAGGCGCCGTTGGAACTACTAGGAAGATGAAGGGAGGAAGAGGAGAAGGAGGGAGGAGGATGGGTGGGGAAAGGGGAATTGTCGATGTGCAACAAGCAGGGGAGTCTGATAAGAGCGTTGTCTGTCATCGTCGTCATCATTAGTTCAAAACTGAGTCAACGCATCTCCTAAGAGATAATTCCTTTCAGCTTTGTGGTCACTGGATAACGGCGAAAAATGTTCGGGCTCACGTTGCTACACATCTCACTATCAGGAGGTGATTCCTCTTAACCATAGGATCGACTTAATTTTTGGCATCATGATGTTCATTAGCATCTATCATACAGACTTCGATGCACTCTCTGTGGACAAGGATTTGATCGTATGAATCGAGCCTCTATTCACATTGATAAATGTCATTCCGGTGATCCCGCTGCTAAAGTAGAATCGGCTATGTAAGTTGAACATTTTTCCAATCTTAATGTATTCATTATCAACTTGAAAGGCTTAGTTTTTTTTCGTTTTGTAGGTGAATTTTTATGTTCATGAACTTGTAATTTTTATGTTTGTGGATTGATTAATATCAAAATCAACATTCCTCTGTACGTATTTTGAGAAGTCAGTGGCAGTATGTCTCACTAGCAAAAAAACATGCAAGGAAACAAGCAAAGAAAGGGTAAAATTTAAAGCTCAAAGAAAATATGGAAGAGTGTAATAATATGGTAGTTCCATGGCAACCAGTAGCAAACACACAGATTTCTTCCAAAAGATGCAGGGAAAAATAGTCAACAATCTTCCGTCTTCCCCTTCCCCCTTTCAAATATTTGCCCACCCTCCAGCATCCTAGAAATCCAATCCATTTTTGAGTTTATAGAGGTCCTTAGAACTAACTACTCGACAGCTATTGAGATAGATTCTTAGGGACAGTCTCTTCGCTCTCACGCATCTAGAATGATATCAATATCTGTTGCAAATGGTCACTATCATTATTATCACCATTTCTACATAACACTCTCCCTTACGTAAGATAAAGTAAGTTCACAACACTTGGGTGATCAATCCTGCTTTCACTTACGCGTACTTCAGCAATTTGCCGTATACAGAATTCGAAGATCCCTCGTTTGCTCATTAAGATAAGAGAAAGGCTCGCACTAATACTAACCATCATCTACCGAAGCACCACCACTAGTAATGGGCTTATTACTAACTAACTAGGTCAAACAATTGTGACCGTTTATGTATGATTGTCAAGATGTTAAAATGGCGAGATCGTCTACGAAA